CAAAGGTAGCACTGAACAGTTATTCATGCAGCATATATCTGTTGCCGATTCTACTCATACCATAGCCCTTATACAAACAATATATTCTTGTTGCTATTTCAGATTACTTTTATAGGTATGTGTGTTGTTAAAATCGGCGGCCCGGTGTATCGAATTGGCGTAGCTGGTGGCAGTGCTTCTTCCCTGCAAGTTCAAGGGAGTAAGTGACTCTGCCCAACAGAACTTCTTATCGTTTGTGATGTGTTCAGGTATTCAGCGTGAAAGTGAAGTGGAGTACGGTGCCGTTCAGCGCGGCGATCCGGAGATGGCCCAGAAACTGAACCGCGTGGTACGAAGCTGCGCCGAGTTGAAGTCGGCAAATCCTATCCAGTCTATTCATGACCAAGGGGCTGGCGGAAATGGTTTTTCATAAAAATTTTAGCACTACGGCGCTGTTCTAACAGAGAAACTCTAATTTTTAATCATTTTAGCAAATGTCATCAAGGAGTTGGTGGATAGTGCTGGAGCAGTCATATCAGCCGATGCGTTCGAACTGGGAGACGCTTCCATAACTGTGAAAGAGTTATGGGTAGCGGAATACCAGGAGTCAAACGCCGTTCTGGTGAACGCCGAAGATATGCCGTCGTTACAACGCATTTGTGAACGTGAGAAGTGCTCGTGCTGTAAAGTCGGCATCGTGACTGACGATGACAGAGTAAGTCGCAATCCGGAGTACAAGTGTCGCCCACTTCATGTTCATTCATAGATCGTATTTTTAAGCCAGTAAGATCAGGATGGCTCTATCGGTGGAACATCGTACTCACAGAAAAGAGATTCGAATCCTACCCGAGGCAGCTCATCTTTTATCCTTCCAAAGAATAAACTGATACTTCTTTGCGGGAGGGACAAGAAATTACGCGCTGCAGTTGGTCGCCACCAAGCTGTAGACATTGCTTCAAAACTGGCATTTCTCTCTGATGGCATTGTGACAGAGACAATGCCGCACATTTGTTACATGAAAATGGTTTGGCAAATCATGGTAATATACGGAAAACCAACATTCAGTGGGTTAAAAGCTTTCATTTTATGTCGGAGGTGCAGTAGTTTGATAGATTTTTTTTCAATGATCGCGGTCGTCCGTCAGTTGAGTAGGCTCTGTGAATGACTCTACAATATATTCAAGGCAGCAGATCTTTGATTTTCAGCTTGCTCCTTGGCTACCTGTAACATGGCTTTAGTAAGAGACTCCGTTTTAAGAGGTCCCTTACTGATATCTTGATTACCTGCCGAAAGTATCGTTACTGTGGACCATCAATCTGTACCGTAAAGGACTAGCAAACGTGAACATCTTTAACTCCAAAAATTCACCTTTTCACTGCTGAAATCTTTCGAAGGAATCCTGTTTCTGCTGTTTGTTTGCAGGATCGCACCCCGATAGATGTTCGTCCTGCATCTATGAATATATGAAAGAGTAGTTGTGTATACAGACTTAAAGACAGACGGCTTCGCTCTGTAGCCCATCTCCTTGTTCATAACCGTAGACCGGTACAGTTTTCGCATTTTAGAACTCGTTTGACTGATTCATATGTCTGTCTTGATATCGTGCTTACAGTCACTCGTGAATGCTCCTGCGAAATGCTTAGACTTCTGTACCTGCTCAAGCTGCGCCCTACTTCCATGCACATCACACGGAGTAACCTTTCTGCGCAGTACAGAAGGCAGAATTTTTGCCACGCTGATCTTCTTTCAGTGTCTATGCTGCAGCAAAATTATTAAGTGTGCGTTGTAGTTCAGCATCAGTAGACATCATTGGCGCACAGCAAATGGAATGGAGTAATCATCAGTTTACGACATTCTGGCGCTGTAGTTTTTCATCCTGCTCGTTCTCTGAGAAAGCTTTAAGATATTGCGACAGATATGATCATGCCGCAGTGAGAGGTTGGCAGGGATAACTTAAACGAGGCTGTTAAACCAAGCTGTTCCTCGTGTACTTGTTTGTGGGTGCAAGGTAATCAAGAGCAGCGAAGTCAATAACACTCCAGCTTGATAGAGATGAGCCGTAGAACTGAAGATATGCCATCATTTAGATCATACATCGTTAATCACTGAAGGTCTGGTTCCTATGCAAAC